TCAAATAAACCGTCGTGTATACCGCTTCGGCCCAAATGATTTAGGTAACATTTTCTCAAAAACCATTGATTTTGACATCTCAACAATGGATTTATTCTTTCTTACAATTATTCCATTTTGTTGTGGAGTATACCCACTTGTCAATTGTCTTTCTATTCCAATGTCTTCATAAAACTTATTAAATTCATTAGAGTTGTATTCACCATTTTTATCACTTCTCAAGACATTAATATAGTATTCATTTTGCCTTTCAACAAACTTTTGGACCTTTTTGAATACTTTAAAAACTTTAAATTTTTGTCTCATAAATAAACGCAAGTTATTCTTGAAAAATCATCAATAATGACAATGAAGTATTTGTTATTTCCATGAGAAAGTGTTCTTGATGGTCCCCATATATCGGTATGAACAAGCTCTAATGGTGATTTGATTCTTAAATCTTTTTCTTTTGGAAAAGAATCTTGATGATGCCTTCCAAGTGCATATCCTTCATAAACTTCTTTATGTTTCTATATATATGACAATTTATAAACCATGTTCTTTTATTGTGAACTCTTAAAGCTTTGAAAGTTTAAGTGTCCAAATCTTCTATGCCAAAGCTAAGATTCATCAACAACTTTCAAATTCAAAGAAAACATTGTTTGAATATCGAAAAATGAGAAAAATTTCTGTTTTTTTCCATCTCAATTTTCATTATAGCTTGTCTTTTCTCTCTAAGATCATAGATCTTACAAGAGTTATCGTTAAACACCACGGAGTATTTATACTTTACAAGTTGACCAACACTCAACAAGTTTTGTTCTAAGTCCGGTACTAAGAAGACATCTTGGATATATTTTATTCCTTTCTTGTTTCAATAGCAATGGTTCTCTTGCCTTTTGTTTGAATCATAACATCATTTGTCATCCTTACTTGAGAATATGAAATGGTATCTATGTTTACAAAAATATTATTATCACCGGTCATATAGTTACTACAACCACTATCAATATATCACATATTGTTGATTTGCTCAGACATTGCTTAATAAATGTAGAACGTGTTTTCACTACTTTCTTGCTCTTCGAAAAAATTAGCTTATTGATTGACAATTTTTTTTGTAAATAATCAAACTTATTACAATTAAAACATTGAGGTTTTTCATAATCTTTTGCAAATCTCATATTTTTTGTATGACTTTTGGAGTCAATATTAAGCTTGGATTGAAAAACACTCATAACATATTTTTTGGCGTGCTTACTCAACCTTGGAACCCAATCAAAATTTTCTCAACAATTCTTGACTTTAAAATTTGATCTTTAAAAGTTTTCTATTGATTTACAATATCCATAAGCCTAGAGAAGAAATCTCTTAAGAATTCGTTTTCTTTCATTATACTATTCTCAATAATTGTAGTTTCATGGCTCTTACTTTCGTAGCACCACGATATTCATCTTCTAAAGTGTCTCATGTTATCTGACTTTGTTATATTGAGAATTCTTGAAAAAAATTATATCCGTTATTCCTTGTTAAATCAAATGAGGAGTTTTTGCATCCTTCTTCTTGGTTTCCTTTAATTGGCTCATTTGAGTTGTTGTCATCTCTTTGGTTGGATATTCATACCCAATTTGAATGAAATTTCAAAGATTATAAGAGAAAAATATAGTTTTCATCTTCACACACTAATAATCATAATTTTTACCATCAAAGACAAAAAAGGGCGATTACTGTATACCGATAAACCCTTTGATTCCACTTGTCATTTCGATCTTCTTCACCAAGACTTTATTTATCTAATATGAAGTTTCACGTCCATCTTGTTGATATCACTTATGTTGATTATTATTCAGTCTTTTCACATTTGTAATAAAGAAAATAAAGTCAATATAAACTAGTTTTTAGAAATAAATTTTCATATATGAATTTCATAATTTCAGCATACATATAGATTGGAAGATACATATTGACTTTTCACTTCCTTAGAATATTAACCACATATCAAGTCTCAAGGCTCAACCATTTGTTAACTAAATACACTTAACAATCTAGTATGCTATTTTTAACCGTAACTCTGTGAGATAACTAATTACGTAATACAATCATGCACAAGTCAACACGCCTAAGGACATTATATTGTTTTTCTCTTGGAGGATTGTAAATTAATTGTTACTATCTTTAGATAGGATTGAGTATTGGTACATGAATTTAAAAATTAAACTTAAAAAATAAATTTGATAATCACAATCATTGAATAGATAATAGGTCTCAATAAATAATAGAACTTATAATAAAATTAATGATTATGATTATCAAATATAATTTTTAAATTTACTTTTTAAATATATATATCATTGCTCGATAGGTTTCTACCAAATTTAACTTTTTGGTTTATTTTTATTGGACAGATATGTAGTGACCCGTCATATACAGCAGTCAAGCCCCGGAAAATAATTGTGGTTTGTCACGAGACACATTTCCAAATTTTACTGTCTACATCTTATGATTGGACATGTAATTATAGCTTTTTATTCATTTTTTTGCTGTGACTGTTCTGTTTTTAGAATTAATTTACAAAGCTCAGACATACCATAAGCAATGCACCACATAATAGCCACAGGGAACATTTTCAATTATTTTTTTTTACTGTGGGGAGTTTTCTGAAGAAGTAAGTGTTGTATTAATTCAATGCCAGGACGATTATATACAGTTAAAGGGGTTGTCAACTCATGCAAAACAGGCTTTGTAGAACAAAGAATATTTCTGGGAAACGTGTGAGGGTAAACAAACAGTCATATTGTGTAAAGAATCTTCTCATGATCACAATCCTATTTGGTTGCAAAGCTGCAACTTAAACAAGGCTGCATCTTATTTTAAAAGGTTAAAGTAAGAATTACTTAGAAGCAGCAAGAGGGGGCCAGAAAGTGCTAACAAGTTGTGCTAACAATCCGGGAAAAAATAACAAACAACTCTAACAAAAGCAATCCTCCCTTTGCAGCCCAGCCCAGCCCCCCTAAACTCCTGGGTGGATTCCTACTACTGTAAATGCTTACCGACATGCATTCCCATGCAAACCAAGGTCACTGGTTTATCTTTCATTAGGGAAAATTGCTATATCCCAAATTTGCTTGGAATGGGCTCTACCCTCAATCAAATCCATGTTTAATGTAACTTGTGAAGTCGTTAGGACTGTCTAGATGACACAGCTTCAGGGTTCTAACGTAACATCCTATATTCGAGTTGTATGAGATAATCCTGAATTAAGTGATATACGTAGTTTGTGGGTTAGTATGAACATCCTAGCTCTGGACATGATACTACCACTGGTTAACTCAGATGGTTCAGTATATGTGAGTAGTCTCACTTATATTTAGGTCAAGCAGCAAATGAAAATGCAAACGTTCCAGAGCTCCCATAACCTCTATGGATAGCAACATTGGAAGTAGGGCAAGAGACAAGGTTAGAACAGGATGTGTGTGTGTATGTGTTTGTGGTGTATTGTTTGGTTGTGATGATTAATGGCACACATGTGAATAGGTGGGTACGTGTTGGTTTGTCTTTGTGGAACGGAGACAAGGTCAGATAAGAAGTGAATTTACTTAAACCGGCCTCATGATAAATCTCCAAAATTGCTATTTCACTCTTCCAGCAATCAGATGTAAGCATTACAGATGAAATAATGCCTGCCTTAAAAAGGTAAATAACAGCATGGATTGGTCAGGAAGAAATAAAAATGCAATAGAAAAAATTAACTTCTCTGCAGTCATTTTCAACCTCGTAATATGGATGGAATATTTACTTACTGAGACAAAAAGAAAACGGACATAATGTTATTGACATTATGCAATTGCTGATGGTCCACTTAATACGCCAACATATTTTGTAACTGTATATCGGTGCATGCTGCAGCTTACATAGCTTTGTACGAATAGGGCATCATGTGACTTGCTATCAGAATGAAAAATGTTGTTCAGTATTTAATTTTTAGTAGTCTTGTTATAAGAATCTTTTGATGCTTGTAATTATGGACCTTCCTGATAATAGTAATTCCACTGAATTGGACAAGTAAATGTAGGTCATGGAGTTTGCATTTTTTCTGGGGGGGCGGGGGGAGAGAGAGAGAGAGAAAAAAAAAGAGAGATCTCCCACAGCTAGCTCCACCCATAATGTTGGAATAGCAGTAGAATGGTACGATGATAGAAAGGAAATTGACTGACGCGTAGAATGATGAGGTAAATAGAATGGCACGTGGAGAGAGAGAGAGGGAGGGAGGGAGGGAGAAAGCTTTGAAGGAAGGAATCTGACTCGTGATAGGAGGAAGGGGAAAAAATATTGGGCATAACCATTGCATCATATCCTTATATTGGTTAAACAAATTAATAAATGGATCTTACTAAAACTCATAATTACTTGACCATATCATACATAACTATATTTATGATAAAAAATAGACCATATTTTATCTTTTTTATTAAATAGTTATATCATATTAATATTAGTGTAATGGTTATACTCAATATTTGTTCGAAGAAGAGGGTCGGTGACAGAGAGAGAGATGGCATTGAAAGAAGAGAAGGAAGGTGTCAAAGATTGAGTTGTAAGTGTATTTGTATTGGTGTATTAGCTGTCAAATGCCTCCAAACACTTCTCACGGGGGATCTCTAGACCATCTCTCCTCTCTTTCTCTTCTTCGCGTCATCCTTTTGTCTCCATATCCCACAGGTCTCTCTCTCTCTCTCTCTTGCATATCTTTCATCATTTCATGGCTCATGCAAAATGTCATACTCCATCTCCATTTACCTAACAGCCCCTAGATGGCAGTCATTACAATCAGGCTTATGTAGAGGGTTAATATGTATGACGTCATGGTCTCCCATGCTCCTTGCCGTGGTCGTTTGCAAGAAACGGACAGGTCATTGCAGGTTTTGTGAGCTCACCGTCTCCTTTAAAAACCCCTCCAAAACCTGCCATAGTGCCAGAAAGAAAAAGAGAGAGAGAGAGAGGTGAAGATAATAAGGAGAAGCATGGGCTCTAAGGATCAAAAGAGAGCAGCTCTACATGAAAAGTTGCATCAACTTCGCTCTGTGACCAACTCCAGTGCTGTAGAACCCCTACCTTTTTCAAGCAACTGTTTTTTTTGGCTTTCATCTCTTATTATTTCCCTTTTTTAAATCAAAATTTGAAAGCATTTTGTTTCCCTTTTTATTGCTCCACACACACGAAGAGGGAGAGATAGTAGTGTATCAAGGATACGGTACATGTTTCCAAGAGATTGAGAGAGACTCAATCTTAGTCGGTTATCTGTTTGATTCATTTTAATCTTAGTCGATTATTTGTTTCATCTCTTATTCTTTCCTTTGAAAGAAACGAGTTATTGAGTGAATTGTACTTTGTGTGGGCAGAACATTATTAAAAAATAATATATATATGTTGGTCACATGTGGGCCTCGAATATATACCAAAACAATTCTTCCAAATTTCCCTTCATTCTGCATTACAATACAAGTAAAAATCTTATTATGCCGCAATAAATTAATTATTGATTTGTTCTAATTATCTTTTGTTATTGTTAAATTTGTCTTGGGCAGGTGAACAAGGCATCAATTCTCGTAGACGCGTCTAAGTATATAGAGGATCTGAAGGAAAAAGTGGAAAGACTGCACCAAGATGTTTCTACTTCAAAAAATTCATTACCAAAGGTACTATATATTATCAGCTACAGTGCTTCTTCGTTCCTCTTTCATGGGCTGCCTTTATTGAGCATAATGAATCTTTATCCATCTTCTTGTTCTTATTAACACTACTGCAGGTTACTGTGGAAACCCTAGAAAAGGGCTTCCTTATTAATGTGTTTTCAGAAAAGAATTGTCCAGGTTTGCTTGTCTCAATACTTGAAGCATTTGAGGAGTTGGGCCTTGAGGTGCTTGATGCTAGGGTTTCCTGTTCGGAGAGTTTTCGTCTAGAAGCAATAGGAGGCGAAGTAAGAGAGTAACTTTCTTCTTAAATTACCTCTGTGTTTTAGGTTTCTTTATTGCTTGGTCCAATCAACTACATCATAAATCTGTGTACAACTCAAGTACTTGAATAAATATATGTCAGAATTCTTAGAAGCAATATGTAGGGGGCATCTGCTAATTTTTTCTGTCCTTATTTTTTTTTAATGCAAAACAATAAAAACATAAACATGTTTATGTATTTATTTTTTCGCTCTCGATAAAAACATTAGATGTTCGGTAGACACATGTGACAATGGAATACAATGATTGTTGCAAAGTTTTCATTTTCCTACAGAGGGAAAAAGAATCTCAAATAGAGCTGAGGCGGTTACAGAATATTCAAACTCAAAATATTATGACATTGCAATTCAATCTTTCAGTATTGAAAAATGTATTATGCCAATACAGTTCACTGATATGTCTTGTACGAACAGGCATTTGGTCATAACATCTAGGAAATTAGGACTAATTTCATGGAACCCCTGAATTTAGCATCAGCTGTACATAGCCACCCTCAACTATCAACTATCACTAACACCAAGGATATGCAGGAAGGGATTTTGCTATTAAGGGAGATCGAGGGTTTGACCTCACTAAACATATAAGGATGATCGTTTGATTACCTCTCTAAACATACAGTCACCCATCGTATTTTTGGTTTCAAATATAAGAAAATATTTTTTGTAACTTTTGCATTCCAAATTTGCAAATGTTTTCACGAAAGTAAAAACAGTAAGAAATCCAAATATGTTTTGTTTCTTGTTTTCGATTTATATTGAAGAACAAAAAATAGAAAGAAATAAATAAAATAGTGAAAAAAGGAGCATTTAGATTTGAGGTTCAGGAACCTGATATCATCTACTTGCTTAAACATCTTGTGTGAGTCAATACAAATCAGCCTCATGCCTTACCATACATTTTCAGGTTTTTTTTTTCCTAAATTCTGTCTGCTGGCAAATTGGTGAGGAGCTAGCATATAATACGTTTGTTTTTTGTCTTTTTTTTTGGCAGTTTTATGGGTTACTAGTTGGTGGATTTTCACAATAATAATGTGTGTTCTTATATGTATTCAATGATAGAATAATTTTTTATGTTACATTGAAAAGGTCCTTTTTGACTATGCAGAATGAAGGACAAGTTGATAGTATAAATGCTCATGTGGTAAAACAGGCAGTTTTGCAAGCAATCAGGAACTGGGTTGACAGTAGTGAGCAAGATTAACCTGTTAGCTTTTGTAGTCATCTCGTCTCTTTCTCTCTTCATAGTTTATCCTCTCTTTTTTCTGCTTGTAGCCTACCTATGGTATCTAATGAAAAGGAGTCCTAAATCTTTTGCTTAAACTAAAATGCAACCTAGGCTCTTAAAAGGAAGTGAAAACCCTAAAATGCATGGATTATTTCTATTATTCCTAGCAAAATTCACATAGATGAGGGACAGACCTAATTTTATCAGGTATATAACAATCCCTTAGATATCATTATTCTTATTGGTTTGTGGATTGTGACTTCCGTTACAACTAATGTGTTACCTGTGCTGGACAGAGCAAAGCAGGTATGAATAGACAGTTGAATCTGGTTTCCATAACGATGACATTCAGTACAAATGCGGAAACATAAAAAGAAAAATGGGATATGTTTTCGAATGCCACTAGCCGTTTCAGGTTTAATTTCGAAGATCGGAAATTTCATGAGAAATAGCATTCTGCGATTTGTATGAAAATGGCTAAGACCCTTTTGTGATTGTGCAGCTGATTGTTAGTATGATTAGTTAATTGTAGAGGATTTTTAAAAAAAATTGAGAAGTAAAAAGAACATTAATATAAGAGAGCGAGCCAGAAGCCTGCAAGGTGAATGCAATCTTTAATTTTGATCTAAAAAGAATGAAACAATAGTTCTGCAGCATGGAGTCCGCATGGGATGAGTGCCATGCAACTAATGAGGAAATTGTTTGGTAGGTTTAACACACCACACGTACATCACTAATAAAAAATTGTATATGTTCAATGAATACCTATCATTTATCATCTCGTCAGATTTTTTTTTTGAAGAGCCAAGCTTGTGTGTTCCACAAGCTACTTTTGTGGCAGCCTGTTATTGGGTGTGCACACCACGTGACAGTGCCACATGGTGTGTTAAACTCATATAAAATTTTCTCGTAGAAGGGTGGTAGAGATGTCATTGGTGTATCCCTTCGATGCTTATCTGGCATATCACTGAGAGAAAAAAGGGAATATGAAACCTGTGTTGGTTGTAAGTGTCTGTTAGAGTGCTTGAGCATACCGTAAGGCTAAATTGAGTTTGGAAGTTTGTAAGGTTCGTCAACCTTTAGGGAGGAAGCCTTGTTATTGGCTCCTCCGGATGATGCTTGCCACTTCAACCGTGGCTGTCCTTTTAAGGAATGTACTGCTTCTTATCTATAACAAGGGGTGGTAGAGATGAACTGCTTCTAATTGGCCTCTGTAGAAATGTGGCGACAGCTTTTGGGAGTTGGTCTCTGCCCTGTGCCATTTGGATGGCTGGGCATGAGCCCATAATGATGGCTTTATTTAGGGGCTCATAATTTGCTCTATGAGCTCCGTGATTGAGATCTCCCTCTAAACGATCGGTGGAGTACCTGCAAGGCAAGTCGAGGACTAGGGGGCTTTGGGAGTTGACCATTTGATGCCTAAGTTAGATTTGGGGTTTTTTTGGTGGAGAGTATTCAATTGGAGTAGATGATTTGTACTTTAGTTGATCTCCTCCCTTCCCCTTTGATTGGCCAACTTGATTGTGTTGTTAGGGGTTCCTCATCCCATTATCCAAATAAGGCAGTTACACTTTAAGCATTGGAAGTGGTCTTAAGTGGAGGTCTTAACTGAGTTGAGCTAGTCAAATTTGTTATGGAGCTGGATTTTACCAAGCTAAATGATAGGTGAGTTGTCGAGTTGCTAGGCCTAATCCGAGCTGTGGATCTCCTTTCTCCGAGCATGTGTTCATTCTTTAGTGATCAGTTGCCCCTAGTTTAACTTAGCTTGGCTTGTACATGGTCCACATTTAATGCACTTGTTCGTTAGTGCCTCGGGAAATAGAGTGTGGCTCATGTGAATGTAATTGTCGAAGACTTGTTGTGTGGCTAGTATTTAAACACATCTTGCTGCCAGTGTCCAACGCGTTTCAAGAACTCTTCTAGAATTCGGGTACACTTATGTTCCCTTATTCTTGACCTCCTTCCTTTCTTTCTATTTTACTTGGACTCTCCAAGCTGGATTATATAGGTTAGAGTCATACTCTTTAATTTCACTTCTACCAATTTTGTTTTCTTAAGTGGAAAGGTTATGATCTTTACATTTAGGGCATTTTGTTGATAGGTCCTCTTCGGTTCAACTTGAATCTATCTTTGGTTCTTGCTTGTCTCTCGATCATCATTGTTTTACCACTTATACTGAACTTTGTCTTAGGGTACACCATTTCTTGTATCTGGGGCCAACAAGGCCAATAAGGATTCTAACTTTATTTTGGAGATCGTCTCCTCATCAATCAGAGTTGTGGGAGCAAAACAAGTCAGGTGCTCTCTTGATGAGAAAACTTTGGGAGAAATCAGAAGGCATTAATAGATTCCTGATTCTGTTTGCCTTCGTCTCTCTTTTCTAGATGTAACAATCGACTCATTCGGTCCTAACAAAGTTGTTTTTACAAGAATCTTTGAGGCTGGGCTTTGTTTTTCCATACCTCGATACATCAAGGAAGGCCTTCATTTTTTTAAGTTTGCCCCTTCACAATTAACTCCCAATAGTTGGGGGTTCTTGATTGACATTGGTGTTCTTTGGAAAGAGCCAACGACATCGACGCTTACCTCACAATTGTCGAGTTCTTCCACTGTTACAAGCTTATACCCTATCAGGACAAAGCTAGAGGGGTGATTCTATTTTTCCAAGAGATAGAAGACCAATCTCGGGATAAGCTATTCTTCCAATGTAAAGGAGTGTGAAAACAAAATTTTTTTTGTGTCTAATTCTGGTTGGGAGTTTGAGCCCACAGAGGCCTTCTCTGGAAAACCCCTTCTGGTCCATCATCTTGGGGATCTCTTTCTCCCTCTATTTTAGGGATTTGAAGGATTCTTTACTCTCTGGGCTCCATTCAAATGCCTTCCTTAGTACTTTAAAGAAAGGAAAACACTTATCACTTGCTTTGGAGATGAACCAGTTTAAGGCTACTACCCTTCTTGTGAATACTTGAACTTCTTTGGCACTCCGTGGGGATCTCATGTCTATGAGTGTCTAGATCTTCTCGAGGTTGTTCTTTACACCTTTCTATGTCACCACAAAGCCCATCAATTTTTCTTAAGAGACCCTGAAGGCACATTTGGTAGAGTTGAGCTTCATGTTGTATTTTTTGAGTATTTCAAAAGCTCCCCTGGGATGGTCAATATGTTCACAAGCTTGGCGGCTTTTGATGAGCATATCGTCCACATACACGTCTATGGAGCTCCATGAACATCTAATTAACCAACCTTTGATAGGTAGCTTTTGCATTTTTTAAACCAAAAAGCACTACCTTATAGCAGTAAGTCCATTCTTCCATGATGAAATAGGTCTTTTCTTGGTATGGTTTATGCATCATGATTTGGTTCTACCCGGAGAATGCATCCACAAATGTGAGTATTTCATACCTTGATGTAGCATCAACCATAATTCTGGGCAATGAGAAATAGTCCTTTGGACAAGCCTTGTTTAAATCCGGGAAATCAACACATATTCCCTATTTTCCATTAGTCTTCTTTACTAACACCACATTGGCTAGCCATTCTGGATGCTACACTTCTTTTACTGAACTTGATTCANCCATCTTAGTTTTCAGGTGGGCACAAGAAGCCACTCGCAAAGCCAATAGAGGTCTAGGGTGGGTGCATGCCCACCCTTTCTTCCTTAACATTTATTATATAAAACAGTAAAGTATATGATGTAGGGTAATTAATAAAATAATTAATAGCAAAAAATAAAGATTGGATGGTTGGGTCTAGGTGACCAAATCACTAAAGATGGCGACGGTGACCGAAAAACTCTATTAATAAAAGAGTACAAGGTAATTAGAGAAAGAGCAAGAGTACGCTCAATCTAAAATCTGCCCCCATGTGTAGGCGGATTTACAATTTATAGATAGAAAGCCCTAGTTGAGGCGGTTTTNCATGCCCACCCTTTCTTCCTTAACATTTATTATATAAAACAGTAAAGTATATGATGTGGGGTAATTAATAAAATAATTAATAGCAAAAAATAAAGATTGGATGGTTGGGGCTAGGTGACCAAATCACTAAAGATGGCGACGGTGACCGAAAAACTCTATTAATGAAAGAGTACAAGGTAATTAGAGAAAGAGCAAGAGTACGCTCAATGTAAAATCTACCCCCATGTGTAGGCGGATTTACAATTTATAGATAGAAAGCCCTAGTTGAGGCGGTTTCGTGAAGGTCAAGGTACGAGTTTATCGGGAAAGATAGTTACAATTGAGAATAGATACTATCTTGGAGTCATAGCTATTCAGATGATTGTTCTCTCATGTGCGTTAATTCTTTCTGGACTCTTGAACATTGGACTGAACTATGGCCATAAGTTAAGTCTTGCTTGCCTTTTGATGGCTTGAGCTTAACCCATGAACTGAGCCCAAATCTAGTCTGAATCTGATCTCGTCACATATATTTAAAAGATTTCTCAAGGATTTTTTTATTTTGACCACTCTTCTTGTATCAATTATTATAATTATATTTTAGTGACTATCAAATTTTCGATATGTTTTTGGTACATTGGGATAAGTTTTTGGATATATTGATGTTATTTTATATGTTAATAACACTTTTAGTCTTTAAAATATGTATATTTTGTTAGTTTAGTCTCTAAAGTATGAATTTTATAAATTTGGTCNTTCTTGTATCAATTATTATAATTATATTTTAGTGACTATCAAATTTTCGATATGTTTTTGGTACATTGGGATAAGTTTTTGGATATATTGATGTTATTTTATATGTTAATAGCATTTTTAGTCTTTAAAATATGTATATTTTGTTAGTTTAGTCTCTAAAGTATGAATTTTATAAATTTGGTCTCTAAAATATTCGATTCATGTTTAAATGATCCTTAACATAGACGGACTGTTAGTTTTTTACAGAGTGATCACGTGTTAGCCACGTGATGTCGTATGAAAAAATGACACGTGGTCACTTTTATAAAAAAACTTAATAAATTG